GTGTACATGAAGGTGATGGGCAAGAGTCTGCTTCTGCCGAGGGACATCTTGGGTATCTTCCGCCCTGGTACTCGTACTCACGTCTTCTTTGGGGGCTGCGTAAAATTTAGTGATATAAGACTCGGTCAGTGCCTTTTTTGGCTCCCCTCCCCTGTAGGATATGACAAGAACATTACTTTCGGTAAGTCTCAGTTTTCGAATAAACGGAGGGTCTCAGTTGAAAATTCAACCAGGTGGAAAGTTCGGTGTAATTTTTCAAGGCCGATGTGGAAAAGTATTTCATGGCTTCGGGACAATACGTTATGTCTCCTCCCCGAGGAGAGGGATCTTCTGTTCTCGGAGAGTATTTTCTCTCCCTACGCTAACCCCTCCTATGCTTCACTTCCCGATGTTTTGCGTCGCGCGAATCTATAGCGTGGGAGATTTCCTCTTCAGGAGTGAATATGGTATACGGCCCCTAATGTCACTCTCAGTCTCTTTTTAACTGGTTCACCCGGACGTTCAACAAGAAGCAGAGAGATTTTTCGGAAAGCAATAATGAGGCTCCAGGGAATAAATAATGTCCAGCTAGATGACAACTTCTGGGCGCTTTGTACCTCGGTAAGAGATAGTCCACACTTCAACGTCAGCACTGTGGTAGACAGCGATTTTCTAGGGTAGGATGGGTTTGCAGAGCTGATGACCACATCGTGCATTTCAGCACTTCACAAATGTCATGTGGTTAGTGTGGGGTCGGTCAAGGTCCCTTCCTTCTCCCTTTAAATATCGCAGAAGATCCATTGCCGCCTTCCTTCAAGTATAGCAGGCTACCATGACTATAGCTGTCGCAAATTGCAGACTGATTACTTTCAAGTTAACTGTTTGATTAGGCTGGCTGTAACTCTCGTGTCTTGGAAGGTTTAGACGTTCGATTTTTCAGACGCGACGAAGGCTTGCCCTGGTGAATGTGAAGCGGCCGGCTGTGGAGGCTCATGCTTCTTCAAGGAGGAGATTGGGGACTGCAAGCATCTCTCGTGTATAATTATTAAGTAGAAAAAAAATGTTTTGTGAACAAATCTCGTGTTTTTACAGCGTAGGAGGAGAAAAATAATCAGGCAATCTTTTCTCAAAAATTGCATCGGGGTCCCATAATTATCTTCCCAGTGAAGAAAGAGGCAAAAAAACCTTGGGAACACTGTACAGAGGCCCTCTCAGCAGTGGACACCTTGAACGAGTTTGTCGGACATCGGCACGCTCAATCAACAGAATACCACGAGCGACCGATTCCCGGCAAAAGCATAGGATATCCCCACGACGCTCCCGGCAACCCTATGTACATAGGCAGTTCCGCTTGTATATTCTATTCAAGGATACTATCCGTGAACAAAGCATGGGAGGAAACAGTCGGAACGAGGGCTGGGGTGGGGCGGTTACTGCCAATGTCACTGGCGGATGTTCTGCGAGAGGGCGTTTAGCCTCACCCCACTCAGCTTCTCCAGGTTGATAGTAATCGCCCGCCCGCAGCCATCGTGCCCACTACCTTCAACCATCGGTCTTCCTGGTTAGAAGCGCTCCTCATTGGAGGAGGAAATTCCAAAGTCACAGCGATTGATTGTCCCCTTCGCACAATCAGCGTAGACCTTGCCTTTGAGAAAATACAAACACTCGCTCTTACTGTAAACGCTGGCGCGTGTCAGGTGTTCGGTCTGTTCCTGCACCATCCCGTTCATCACCACCTGTGGAGCGGGCAAGCGACAACAATTAGTGGAGAGTTGGAAATTCTACCCAACCCCTCCGCCCTCGTCCTCTCGCCAGCGCCTGCAGTGAAAAAGTTTGCGTTGTAATTGTAAAATACGTTGACAGAAAAGAAAGCTTTCGAGGAGGACAAAAACCAAAGAACCTTCTGACACTGGACACAGGACACATTCCACGCTGATCATATGGGCGGAGCCGGACCTATTATAACGCCTTCCCCGTTGAGCATAAATGTGGCTTCAATAAGGTGGAATGAATTCATTAGATGGCAATGGTCAAATGTGATCCAATAGTTTGCCCGATGCCACCGAACATTTTGAATCGCTGTGCCACCCTATATCGCATTGTCCTTACCAGTCGAATTGCTAGCGCGGGTGTTTGGGAGCAGGGTCGTGATGTGTAAAATGTATCCCCCCTACTCCCCGACCTCCGTACTCCTCCCCACCTAAGAGAGGGTCTTGGCGGAACCTTCCACCTTCCTCCAGCACCTGTGAGTCACTTCGTCTCTACTGAAAGCTTCCGAAAAGTTCCTACCAGTGTTTTTTCGGCGATTTTGCGATAATTTTCCACTTTCTCTCCTTAAATTCTTCGTCAAGCAGGGAGGGGGGAGGTCGTCAGGAATCAAATACGCCAATGTAAATTGGGAGAAACCGGCTGTAAAGTCATTAAACGGGGAAAATTTTCGTCGCCAACGAGGCGAGTTTTCTCTACGAAATTCTGCTACATACCGACCCCCCCCCTCCCGATAACGATCGATAACGAATCCGCCCCCTCCCCAGCGACCAAGTATTTACGACCCCTCCCCATGCGTCTCACACAACGATGCTGTACCTGGTTTGAATGAGCCTACTGCAACAACTGTTCCCTTTAAAGGCACATTCCGCGATAAAATAAGGCTATGACCTCTCAAATGTGTCGGACGATCCGGAAGGCGATTTTTGAGGCTGCGCTACTTTCAAAATGTGAAAAACGGCAAGAACTCCGCTAGAAGCTGACTAATTAGGCCCATGGACACCCCTTAGGCCCATGCCGACCCTCACCGGCTGCTAGCTACTAGCTAGTAGCCACTATGTTATCTTTCTCTATAACATTTCGGACTGCTTTTTCTGCTTTTCTCCGCTAATCAGATACTTAGCACTTTTTTGTGCCTATTTGAGTTCCGTTTCCCGCAATTTGCGGTCGCGAACTGTGCCTTTAAGCTAGTAGACCAGTTCGAAATGCGCATTCATTCATCCATAATTCGAAGATCTCCATCAAAAACAAGAAGAACAAACAACCAGGAAGGAACTAGTTAGAGCGTGGACTCAAGTGAATGGGGTTGCATAAGTTGACCAGGAAATGGACTTCACTTGATTCTTTGATGAGGCTTTCCACAAGAATACGCGCCACCACGTACATCAGCACTGCTGAACTCGTAGAATTTCGTCCATGCCTAAACATAAGGGCCTAATTAAGAATTTTCTGAGCTTCATTTTTGGGGAATAAAGGACGAAGTTAACCAAACTCTGTGAATAAATGTTCGCCTTTCCTGGAGCAACGCATGCAACCAAGCCAAAACAAATATGGCCTGATTGGTGATGATTGACCGTCTCACGTCGTCGATTTGCGAATACGTTCGAAGTAGATTGTTCCGAATTCCTGGAATACCACAACTCTCCTAAAGATGGAGGAAAATGAGTCAAATTCCTTGTGTGGATGGCCAGTGGGCGCGTCAAGGGGCTCGGATTGGCGACGGCGTCAGCCCATTGTTACACACCAAACACGTTGTTGCTTTACCCCCGTTCCAGACAAATCGTAGAAAACGGGCTGGGACACAGACAGATCCACCCCTTCCCCTTCCCCCCCCCTAAACGTCTAGGCACCCGCAGCTAACAAAAGAATTGGGGTAAAAGGGCATTGATAAGCCGCTTGATGATAAAGTTTCCTACGTGCATGTGCCAGAAGTTCAACGTTAGCTGTGGATGACAGTTCCTTTTAATAGCCCAGCTCCCCGCGGCAGCGTACAATACCCCCCCGCCGCCCAAATTACAACGTGAAGTCAAAAATATCGCGTCGTAAACGCACACTATTGGGCATACCCTAACCCCGTTTATTCCCTAGGGTGCCCCCGCGGACGCTTGCAGTAATCCAAACAATGAGTCTGGATCGGTCCTGTAGTCCCGCGAGCAGTTGTGTGCACTCGCGACCTATACAATTAATTTCACGCGCAATTTTTGGGGGTCTCTTTACACCCTGATATGCAAAATGCATATGCAACGGCAAGCTATTGATTGATCCCTGTGGATTGGCCATGTACTTGGCAAATTCCTGGCTATATGAAAGAAGAGTTTCTCGCGCAAACTTGTGACTTGTAGTTATATACCAGCGTTGTTCAAAGTCGCCTCTTTCTTGTAGGAACTCTTTCCGTTCCATGAAACGTAAACTTCACCAGTTTGAAAAGGATACGGTCTCGCTGTCCATAAACTGCGAATTGGGGCTCGGCGTTTGGGTCTCCCAGCGCTCTGATTGTCAATTTCGGGCTGCTGGATAAAAGTTCAGTTACCTTACTTCTCGCGGAAGGCGGTAAACATTTGCTAAAAACAGGCACTGCTCGGCTTGGGAGGGACATGTTGTGCTTTCGCTACTTCTTTTGTTTATTCCTGCTAAAGCCTCTTGACAAGTAAGACGAAGCTCCTGCTACTGCATAGCTTCAAAGGAAATTACAGGTCTCCACAGGAGGCATTGGCACTGATTGATGGGAACCAGCAAAATGCCCCTACCAAGTCGAACTAGGACCCAACAACATTGCCTGGCTTACCTGGAGGTGGTTCAAAGGTGACTTTCAGACTGCGCTGCAACATTATTGCTGGGAACTTGTTCTCCTCCTCGGTTGTCATCCATAAACGAAACTTTTCGTGTGGTGTTACGGTAGCTAGTTCCTGAAACGACCGACCTTAATATTTCTGAAACCCGCGTCAAATCCATAACAACGCACCTTCTGAATAACTGGAATGATACTGAGCATTAGGTGAACGTTCTGCAGGCAAAGCCATTGACCTTCAGAGGAAGCCCGTCGAATGCCGTCGATCGTAGCCTGTTCCTGACCCTGTCCCCATCGATATAGACGTGTAGTTATGTAAACCTATCGTATTCGCAGCTAACTTCTTCCAGTT